CATTTCTTTGATTTGTTATGAAATTATCTAAATTTCAGCTTTTTAATCAATGTCAGAGGCCTTTCTTACAGTTTGGCAGCCAAAAGCCTGGCTTACACTTTTGGCAGACTCTTGCTATTTGTGTCATAGCAGACAGTCTATACTGAACAGCATGGATGTGCAGATTTCCCCTCATACACCTATCAAAATAGAGCAAAGTTCTTTGAATCCTAAGGTATTTGCATTCTCTATATGCATTTGTATGGTAACTATGTACTTTTCTATGTTCTATTGAAAATGCTCACATTTGGCTACTGAAGATAGACACCCTGAAACATGATTTAGATGGCAAGTCTGAAATGTATCAGAAGATGCAAAAGCACTATGTATTTCTCCTAGCACAGTAGTTAAAGTTCTGACAAATTGTAGCAAAACCATATCCCTCCAGTCAATCATATATTCTGTGCAGGAATTCAGTCATGATTGTAAGATGCGTCTCTCAGGACTAGTACACTAGCAAGCTAAATTTGCCTGAAATTCAAATACGTGACACATAAGATTTTTTTTCCATCTGAGTTTAACAGCCACACTGAGGAGCACCCATGCCCCCATGTTTCGTCTGAAACTCAGCTCAAGAGTCTAACAGGCAGAATGCAGATGTATGCACCAGGCAGTGAAATGTAAAAATGTAAATGTAAAGATTCTGTAAGCTAGCTTTGCAGCTGACTTTTGAATTTTTTTTATTAAGCTAACCTGAGCTATTCTCTCCTGCTATTTCATGGAGATTTTCTTTTCCTAATGCCTTCTACAAGCTTCCAGTCATATAGTACCACTTTTAACAAAAAAAAAATCCAAACAAAATCTTCCATCTGTAGTTATGCTAAAGTTTATTGTTATAAACAAGGTCACCAATAATAGGTACAACTGCTGTCTCTCTTTTAAAGGTGGTGGTAAAAACAAGTAATTGCCTTTAAGAAATCAATTATCTGAAAAAAAGGCTCTTCTAACTAAGACATAAATATACTAAGAAGCATCTCAGAGTCTGAATTAAGAAGACGGGGAAGATTCATAAGTCTCATTAAGAGAAACATCACAGAAATAAGCACCAGACAGCCATAAAAGACAAACTGTTAATTGTCTCTCTCAGTGTAGGCCTTTGTATGCACTTACTGCTATTCTTGTTTTATAACTGCTCTAGTTAATGGATAAATCAATTATGTAATTGTTGGTACAGGGAAGGATCCTTACAAGTTTCATCTGCCTGGATTTATTTGCTGAAGTGACCCTAAACTCACTTGAATAAGCTGGCAGCCTCATCATCAAAAAAATTCAAGACAACAAATCAGAATGCTGCTGTTTGGGATGCAAATATATATTTAGGTTGCTATTTCTCTACTTAAGTTTTGATTGTTTTCATTTTTGAGGTATACTGACAGCGTCAAGAATCAGACTGGGGATGTTAATCATCGCCAAAATGATGCCAAGTTCACTGCTGCTTCCTTCTCTGAATGTCAATGACAAATACTTAAAATCACACTGACTAACATGTGCAACAGAAATAGGCAAAAGATGCCAGTTGGGTTCACAGAGCATAGTCCACATAGTCCACATAGTCCATCTCATCCTTTAAGCACCATAACTTGGGTGGAAAACAAGCAGTAAAACAGAAGTCGTGCAGCTAAGTACCTCCAACAACCATCTCTGAATTGCTGCTTTCCTTGAGGATGTTTCTCACTAGACTGCAAGTGGATTAAATCCTAGAAGCACAGTGTAAAAAGAAAAACAAAAATCCAGCACTCCTGGATTTCAGGATAATGAAATGACTACTTGATAATGCTGTACCTCCTGCAACATGCCAAGTTTTAACTGTGCCTGTAAATATTTCAAAGTTTGGGATATGGTTTTAGTTCCCTAATAACACGTGAGGATTTCTTGATACAGATATTCGCACCTGTGTTAAATTGTGGCATTGTCGGCCCAATAACAAGTTGAATTCAGAAGGGCTCAGTTCTGTTTTCAGACAGCATTTTTTGTAATCTAAGGTTTTATACAGCTAGCTGCTGAACTAATGACTCACAACCACCCCTTTAAAAATAGAAGAAAAAACCAAAGACAAAACTAGCAGTAAGTACAGGTTAATTTTGTACAACCTGCTGACCCACAAGGCCATGCAATTGAGTAGCTGTTGTCCCATTTGTCCTTAGCCAAGCACAAAGCCTGAGCACGATGGTCTCCCCCTACACACGATTTCCAGAAGTTAAACTCCAAAATGAGAGCTGGGTGCTAATCTCTCAGCAGAGGCTGGAGACCAAAACCAGACACATTTCATCTGTGCTGTTTCTGAGGAGACAGCATCAAGCATCCCCACACAGCCCAGATACATGCTCTGAAAGGGGAGGGAGGAGGAGAAAGGAAGCCCTTGCAGCCACTGTGAGCTGGAGATCCCTCAACTCCTCTCCCAGACCACTCACAGACAGCATCGCAGACATTTACAGGACTAGGAAAGTCACCCCTGGTCCTGAGGCATGCTGGAGATTTCAAAATACTCCAGTAAAAAATTTTAGTTTTAACAAGAAGCAAGTTCAAGCGCAAATTGAGACTCTGACACAGGTTTTATAGAAAATATTAATACAGCATGGTTTTAAAACCTAAATAGCCCCTTAAAAGACTTGGATTGAAAAATAAAAGCTGCTAAAACATTCTGTTTGAAAGCAAGAGTAAAAAAGGAGAATAAGGTATTCTGCCAAACCGAGATCTTGTAGCCTTCTCTTCCTTTCATCTACTCCTTATTACCTTACTTGTTGTTCTATTAGACATATCATAGTCACACAGATGTAGCACTAATCACAGCATAGGAGTTGCCAGCTGCCTGGGAGGATTAAGCTACTCTGACTTTATCCCAACAGGCACCAAACAGTGACTTAGGAGAGACAGTCATTTAGCTGACCCCTTTGTAAAGAAACAGGTGCCATCTGAGCATGCTCGGAAATCCTTTCTGGTGCAGTCATCTCCCCCTCAGCAGTTGACAATTTAAGGTGAAAAAAAATTAGCAACATCTATCATTTTGCACACTGAGGTTAGGCAAAAAGAGCTGAGGCTTCTCATTAGTGTTGCTTGCTGAAAATTATTATGGCTTAGCATGTTACCCCAGTAAAAAAAAAGTCTATATTAAATAAATAAAATAAAAAAATAAGGATGATTGGGGGGCATCAATTGTACTTTATGTTTCAGATTTGATTTTAGTCTAAGATCTACACTTGAAGATACTTCTGCCACAAAGTTTGGGCACAGGCAAAGAATAATCAAAATTCTTCCCTTGAAAACATTTCAAATTTTGAAGTAAACCTGAGGGGTAAACCTTTGACAGCTTTTGAAAACTTGAGACTGGTACATGTTTCCACAGGACAGCATACAAGAGAGAAAAGTGTGAATTAAGTCAGGACAGAGAGAATTGGGACACATGGCAGGAAGCAAATACACCAATGATGCCACAAATTTCTTCTGGATCCACATAGAAAGATGGTATTAGCCATGCCCTACTGCATGTCCTGTGCCCATCCCAGAGCTGTAAGATCTGAAAGGGATCACGGGGAAGCTGCCCTAGCTCAGCCTCTCATGCCTTCTGAGCCTTGGGGCACAAGAAACCTGTCTCACCACAGTGGGTACAGAAGGGAATCTGTACCGTCACCCCTGTTGGGAGGGAAGGGTTAAAAGTGGAAGGATGGTGAGGAGGCTGGTAGATTTGCTCAAGTGACCATGCAGCTGGAAATGCTGAGGTCTGAAAAATATCAGTGTGGGTAACGTCATATATTATGCCTACTGCTGTTTATCCTCAGTCAGTTTTGTGAAGTAGAATCTCTGTGTAGAGATAACAGAGGTGTTTACAGAAACTTGGAGGCACTCGCACAGACATGCTTGAGCTCCTTGTTTTGGGAGAGAGATCAAAGTTCAGAGATCATAAAAAACATAAGGGAGATCACAGCATGGTGGTAAATTACATGTGTATGGACCCTTGATAAATGGGTGCAAACAGCAGACCTGCAGCCCACCAGGATGGACTGAACCTGATGGTGCTGCGTTCCCTCTTACGCGTCCAGGTGTTGCTGTGGGATCCTCCAGTTAGAGAGGTAATGAAATAAATTTACTCTTTGTGTTTCACTCATGGTTTTGTGGCTGTTCCAACTGCCTGTCTGTGTCAATTCACACCCCCCCACGGCAGATCCCAAACATGTTATGGCACATGTTTGACTTTGGCTGAGTACCATGGCTCCACAACAACATGCCAGTCCCACTGCCCTGCTCTCCACTCCCCATGCTTCGCTCAGAGAATATGTCTCCTTCCTCCTCTGCTGTCGCCACCCCACACTCCTCCTCTCGCTCTCCACCACTTCCATTTCATGCTGGAGCAAAGTGTGGCTGTGCAAGCTGCACCTGGCAACAGGTGCCAGGAGGACTGCAAATCTTCATGCCACCAGAAATGAAGATTCCACCTCATTCAAATGAGTCTGTGTGTCATGGTGAATTTTGCATCTATTAGCAAGAATTGCAGCTTCAAATCATATCTTAAGACTTCTACTCATGGTTTCTTATATCTTGGTCACTCACACTACAGACCCCTGTAATGTCAGTGACATTGCATGCATGAACAGCTCTCCTAAAGGCATGCAAGAAATTCAAGGAATGAAGTCTAAACTTTCTCATCCTCCTGTGATTCTCATTTCATAGGCTCAGAAACATCACAAGCCTCCTTTACGCTCTTAAATATTAACACAGCTATTCTCTTGATGTGAGATTCCTCATTATCATATGAATAAATGATTAATTGTCACCATACCAAGCAAGTGCAACTTTTATAACTCTATGAATCAGCACTGTGCCAAACCCTTCAAGAACAATAAGTGTTCAAGCATGTATTGCACTTTATTACTTCCTTGATCGTTTAAAAGGACTCTCTGGCAAACAACCATTTACACAGTCTTGAAAGTTTACTGTCAATGTACTGAGCAGTTCTGTACTTCAAAATGCAGACATACCTTCTTTCCCAGCTATTTAATGGTAGCTCTTTGGCAGAAGACTTCACAACTTGTCCAGATAATGCTACTATTTGTGATGGGACATCTTGTGTATTACCAGAAGATAATTTTAACCAAACTTTGAGCGTAGTTTTAAGTACTGTTCTAACAATTATGCTGGCTTTGGTGATGTTCTCCATGGGCTGCAATGTGGTACTTAAGAATTTCTTGCACCACATAAAAAGACCCTGGGGTATTTTTGTCGGTTTCCTTTGCCAGTTTGGAATTATGCCTCTCACAGCCTTCTTGCTATCTTTGGCCTTTAACGTCCTTCCTATTCAAGCTGTCGTGGTGCTGATCATGGGATGCTGTCCAGGAGGCACAGCCTCCAATGTCATTTGCTATTGGGTGGATGGAGACATGGACCTAAGGTAAGAGCAGCCATTCTCTAAGTACTTCATGTGGCTCCTTACATTGTAAAGTCTTGAAAAGGACTGTCTCACCTGTCTGAATTTTTTCTTAACCTCCTGGCACATGCATTGTAGAGGTTCTTCTTGTAAAGATGCTTAGTTACTGTAATAGCAGTAAATAAAAGCAGAATAACAAATATCCTTGGGAATATTTGTTCATTGGGAATTCATGCAGAACATATCACAACAGAATTGTGTACATTAGAAAATGTCTTTATTGTAAAACTTCAGATCCTGTAGCAAATATCCTTTATGAAGACAGCTAAGACTAAAGATTATGAAAACTTTGCCCAAGTTAGAACCATTCTTTTTCTTCCAAGTAAAAAAAAATAATAATAACATAGAATTTAGGATAAGAATCCTCTGTGCAAAATAGTGGCTATGCAATTGTTCTTATAAAAAGAGCACCTGTGGAAAAATATTATCCCTCCTTTTGTGTTCTACACAATAAAAAGACAGGCATTGATTTTCTCTTTGGGAAGTAATACAAATGAATACCACTTGTGATAATTCTATCTGCTCCTTGAACTTTATGCGAAGTCTTCAAACTGAGGGAATATTTTACAGGCTAGAAGCCACTGCACAAGGCAATCCTGCATACTGGGGGCAATGAAAAAACTCCTTTGTGGCAAAGTGTGATGATCTGAATGAAAGGGTGCTCTGAACTTGGAAGCAGACATGTAAGGCACCTAATCTGGCCTAGGACACCAAACACACAGGAAAATTAGCCCTACTCTTGATGAAAATTCCATGGGGGGTTCATTAAGAGCCTTTAAAAATGAGCCATCTTTTTATTTTTATATCCCGATTACTTTTCTCTAAAATAAACATAATCATTTCTCTCTTTCCCACAGAGTAAAATAAATTGGAACATTCATCCCATTTATCATATGCCAGTCTGAACTAGAAATGGAAAAAATAATAGAAGTAAGAAAGATGTGGAGCTAGAGCAAATAGGCTAAGAATGTTAATGTTTGTAGCTTTAATACGACATTTTTCCATCCTTTGAAAATAGTGAGCTTTTCTGTCACATACAGGTGTTAATGTAATACCAGCTTTCAAATTATGTATGAGGTCAGCTCTGCTAATCATCAACTTCCTCACTGTAGAGGAAAGACCTATGATATTAAGAATCTGTAAGACACTTAATTTCAATTAATATAGGTCTAATAAACCACAGATGGAAAGATAGCCAGTACAAGTCTGAAATTCTGTTCCAGTCTCTCCTCAGACAAATACACTGAGCTAAACTATGCTTTCTCAGCTCAGTATTGTTCAGAGCTGCACCACTAAAATCTGTGGTAAAAATCCAAATTGATAATGCTATAAATATGAGTAGGGTTTCTATCCCATAATGCTAGTAGAAGGTGAAGTAAATTGGAAATGCCTTTAAAAGGTTATTCTTCAGGTAAAGACCTTTATCTTAAGAAGTCAAAGCCTTTTGGTCAGTACCTTTGTGACAAAGTTTCAGGGACCAGAGGGTATAAGAGGTAAGCAGATTGTCAACCTAAGCATCTTCTGTTCTCTGTAGAATAGCACTAGAAGTAGTGTGGCTGGTTTCTGGAATGACTACAGTATTACAGAAAGCCTGCCCATCATATCAGACAAGGTTTTGTTTTTAACTGGTAATATTTTATGTTTACACATTAAAATCCATGACTATTGTCTACATCCTGCTTCAAAACACTGTGCAAATAGACCAGAAGTTAGAGCAGGAATTAGTTTTATAATTGGTATTACAATCACAGTGAGGTGAAGTATGATGTTTCATACCTTTCTTAGTAACTCACAAGCAGTTGATATCCTCTAATGCTTCCCATAGAAACATCTTTTGATATTTCACAAGAACAACTGCTTCTGTGAGCACAGGGACTGGGGTTAGAGGATATCCAGACTTTGGAAAAAGATGTACATTCAGGGATAGTATAAAGATGCAGAAAATAGAGAGGTAGGAAAAATAAGATTTTTTATCCATTTGGGACTTCATCAGACCTGAATTGTAGACCATGACTCTTTTTCTCTGTAAGAAATTTTTGTAAGAACTCTCTTGCCAGAGGCTTCTGCAAAATCCTTTTCAATTACTCTAAAGAAGAGAGTGACAGGAACCAAAATTAATATAAATATTCCTGTGGTTTCTGTATTAATTGTTCTATATTTCCCTGGATCTGCTCAGTTGTGGGTCAGGGTCAATAGTCCCTTTTCTGAGGACAAGCAGCACAAAAGAGAAATCAGAAGTGAGACTCAGAAGGAAGCTTCCAAAGGCTCTTAACTAGAACCCTCTCTCAGTATTTTTATGCCAGAAAAGTGATTTGAAGGCATAATTTTTATCCATTCTATTCAGATTGTGACAGTTTCCTCCTTACTTTGGATGTCTTACCTTTTCCTCTTTCTTCATTCTGTAGCAGAATGCATATTTTTGTACAAGGTGTTTCAGAAAATAGAAATATCTTTGCATAAAGGAAGAAACAATACTTTGCTAAGCTTCACTGAGCAGTTCTCAGCACCTATTCTTTGGCCTACAGCAAAACAAGCCATAAAAGGGAATTTTATTGCATCAAACATCCTAGACAATGAAATATTTTTTTATGCTCTTGAATTCAGAGTGAAATTTGAACACTCTAGAACTGTTGGTGTAATGGAAAGCTCCATTTGACGTTCATCTCTCCCCTGTGCAGCTTGCCGTCCTCTCAGAAACCAGTCAGACAGGTAGCATGCAGACAGACTTGCCAACAGACCTTCCCACTGACCACCTATCTGACTGACCCATTTGTACCAAAATTATGGTTCTGTGGCTGCAGAACACCTTGATATTTCATACTCCTTTCTTTTCAGCAGAAGTCATTCCTTTCATTTGTCTTCTTTCTAATCTGATATACAGGATAAATTGACTGCAGCCAGCAGCAATCCTTACCCAATCATTCGTAAGGTGTGAGATGGTAATAAGAAAATGAGAAAGACTATGGGCTAGCATGAGATGAACTGTCACTGTAACCAATTTCTTTGCAGCATCAGCATGACAACTTGCTCCACACTGCTTGCAATGGGAATGATGCCACTTTGCCTCTTTATTTACACCAAGATGTGGACTGATTCTGATGCAATTGTACTCCCCTATAGCAACATTGGTGAGTCCAGTGGACCAGCTGCCCTTCTGACTGTCCATCCTCCCTCCAGTGACAACTACCTTTACACCATCATCCTGCAGACTTAGAAGATATCACATCAAATTTTTTAAAATATTTGTCTTCCTACTTTCTAATAACCTTCATGGGACTTAGGTACCAGAAATCACTTCCCATCATCCAAAAGACTTGAAATCATTATAAATATTGTACAGATATTTATCACAAGATTGTACATGTTTTTCTTTCCAAATGACTTTGAGACCTGCGTGATATTGGAATAAGAATATAGAATAATTCGCATAGGACTAGTTGCTTCTTCTGGATGAGAGTGTTTGTAACAGCTTTAAGACACAATCCTGCGAAGCGCTAAATGCTGAGGCCATAATCTGGCAAAATACTTAAGCACACATGGATAATTAAGCAAGTGATTAAAACTACTGAGTCTCTTTGAAAAGCTGCAATCTACACTGCCAGGAGTGGCTTCATTTGACTTCCTGTCAAAAATCTCATCCGGCTACAAAGAGAAAATAGTTAAGGTATTTAGAAATACATGCTCCAGTGATTTGCAAAGCTGTGGCCCTAGTGCTTATCGAGTGCAGTTCCATGTTGTGCTAATCTTAAAAGCCAGAAGAATCACTTTCATATTCTTCAATTTCATTTCCCATTGTTCCTGGGGAAAAAATATCACATACTTTGCTTGTGCTTTCAAAATAAATACTGGAGGGGCAAGGTCAAAACAAAAGAAGCTCTAAACCGGTTGTTGATATGGTGCAGTAGAGAAACACCTGCAGACGAAATGAACAGTTAAAATAGCTACTCACATCACAGGATAGTGATGATTAGCACACTCAAATTTCTGTTTGCCTTTCTGATGCAGGTGAATAAGCATGTAGCTCGGCAGAATGGCAATTACTTTAACAGGCTGCCAAAGATAACAGACTCTATAGAAAAGCAAATGGGCAGGTGCAGGTAGAGTGTGCATGCGTGGTCTGGGGTGTGCATATCAGAAACATCCTCTGAAAGCTTGCTTGCTGCATACCCCCAGCCACACCACATGGTGTCTGTCCTGTCATGAGCTTCTGCACCAAACAAGGGCTTAATTTCTCTTTTCTTTTTTACAGGAACTTCTCTGCTAGCTCTCGTAATTCCAGTTTCCATTGGAATATTTGTTAACCACAAATGGCCTAGTAAAGCAAAAATTATACTTAAGGTAAGAGATATATATAACGCTGAAGCATAAGCAATTATGGGCAAATTATGGAATCAGTGGCACCACTGAAGCAGTACTTTGCTATTCATAGTATTAGTATCTGACTTCATAAGAACCAGGAAGTTTTCAGCAGAAAACAAATGAGACATTGTGGAAATATATTGCTTTCCCCCTGCACAAACATGCATGAGTTACATAGATTATTAGAAACCATCATTATCTAAAGAGCCTACTTTTGTCTTTTGCTAGTTAGTAATTGAGTTCAGTATATAATGTAAAGTGAAATTGAAAAGAAAATAATTCAGGTCAACTGGAAGAAGTTTTTCTCTGCAAAACAATAAAAAAATAAAACCATTCTGGATCAAAAAACCTTTATTCTTTTAAACCAGTGTGTTGATTTTTTTGTGGTTCAATTTTGAGTGGGAAGTTAATTTTTATTAAAAAAATAAATTGAGAATATTCCAACTCTTAAAAAAACCCCAAATTTATTCACAAAATACAGCTATCTTTGCAAGATGGTTTCAGTTGCATCAAAAATATAAGGGTTTTGTCAAAAGCTGTTCTCATCAAAATAAAATAATAATAATAATAATAATTTAGTTGTATTTAAGGTAATAGTGAATTAATCATTCTGAACGTTTGGTTGCCAAATGTACTGGGCCCCTTGACCTCTTTTGACCCTTCTTAGTTAACAGATATATTATCTAAATTTTCTTAAAGAAAACTACTCTGTCCATTTGTTATTCTACCTATCTTTTGTTATCATTTCTTTCCTATCAGCTCAGGCAGCACAAAACAAAAATAACACCTTTTTTAGTCAATTCTTTTTCTTAAACTACTAGCTTATGTTGTTGTATTTTTAAATGCACTTTTTATGAACTTGGATACTATTGAGAGCTAATTACAAAACAGTACTATTTCTGTTTAATCAGCTAAGGGAAAAACGTGGACTTGCACTCACATGAAAAGAAACTCTACTTGATCTCTCGGCAAAGCACCATTTCATCCTCTTTCTTACTGAGTGAGTGAGCAACCCATAGAATGGTCCATTGACAATTTACTTTATGTAGGATGATGGAGCACCAAGGGAAGATTGAACCATAGCTGTCAGATTAAGACTCATATAGTGAGAAATGGAGATAAGAGCACAAAGACAATGTGCCAGGTGAAATAGAGGAGCTTGTCATGGACAGATCATGTTTCTTCTTCCTAGGTGCATGTGGTTAATAGCTCAGCCAAACAAAAGCACTTGTTCACTCAGTGTTCTTAAAAAGGCTTCAGCCAAAGACTGATGAAGCCAGTAAAATGGAAATACATGTTTTAGCTGAGAAATAGATTCTCCTAAGCTTAGCCTGAGAAGTCTGGCACTGGGATCCCTGGTAAGATATGCCATAACAGCGGACATTTCACTTGGGTACTGAGAAGAGAATGAGTTATGACTTTTTTTTGGCAGGCAGCAGTAAAGATATTGGTACACTCAACCACGGGAAATAAGATCAACTTCAGTGATTAGGTCTATGTAGAAGTGTTATACAACCTCACAACCAGTTTTCAAGCATGAATTTTCAACCACGTTAAAGATTTACTCCTGTGCTTGGCAAATAATTTCCTATCACTAACTAACAATCTAGCGTCTAGTTAGCACACACTGTAATAAGCCCCAGAGTGTGATTGCCCAAGGGTGGGGAGGAAAATACATTATTCCACCTATTTGGTTATCGGTTTCCCAACAACTCTGGGGAAATTTTTTTGATAAGTGCACTATTCCTCGTTTACATCACACCTGTGAAATTGTTTTTAATATCAGTTCTAAGTACAATAGCCACAGCTTCAAAACACTAGCTTTACAGGTATCTGCTATAGATAAGTATACTAGCTGTGCCTTGATCTATATCTGTAGTCACACCTTGAAGTACATCTCAAGTCTCTTGTTTGGGAAAAATGGCAGCTACCTAATCTCTCTTCCTGCTGTGAATTGCATTGCTGTAAACATTGGATTTCGTGTTTAGTAAGATGTTTCAGTGACTCAGGGACACTCACAGGCATGTTTGACACCATGTTTGTTGACATGCCATTAAATTTCACTGGGCTCTCCTGTTCATGCAGTCCTTCCTCTTTCCCTTCACAGGTCGGTTCCATTGTGGGAGCAATACTCATTGTGCTCATTGCTGTGGTTGGGGGAATACTCTACAAAGGCTCCTGGGTTATCACACCCAAATTGTGGATCATTGGCACCATATTTCCAGCAGCTGGCTATTCTTTAGGATTTCTGTTGGCTCGCTTAGCTGGTCTGTCTTGGCACAGGTATGGAATTCTCCGTGACGAAGACCTGTGGGCTTTTTTCAGCTGTGTAAAAAGTTTTTATGTAATGATTGATCAGTGCTAGGAATGTTCCCTAAACATTAGTTATGTTACAGTTACTCATTCTCCAACCCTGTTTCTGGAATAGTATGCAAAGATAAACTTTTCTTGTTCGTGTTTATTACAGATTCTGATTTTAAGATTTCCTCCAGTCCTTCATATGTCTTTCCCTTGTGTGACCCTTGTGTTACACTGTAAACAAGCAAAACAGAACTGATTTGTAAGTGGGTTGGGACTGCAGTAAAATTTCTCATGAAGACACAGCAATCTACAATTTAGAACATCATTGCAAGAAAGGGAGACAGTGACTGCCCTGTATGGCTTGAAGGGGGATCACAGTCCTTTACAGCTGCTGAAATATGTGACGTGGTAGTAACAGCTGTATGACTTGTGGACTGTTTTGTTGACTGTGTGAGCTGAAAGATACAATTTTCTTAGTTATCCATTACTGCATGTTTCTTGCTTATCCAGATTACTAAAAAGCATAAGGACCCACAGGCTGCTGTTTCACAGTTGTCTCTGTATTATTTTCTTTAGATGTCGTACAGTGTCTCTGGAAACAGGCATGCAAAATACTCAGCTATGTTCAACTATAGTACAGCTCTCATTCAGTCCTGATCAACTTGAACTGATGTTTACTTTCCCACTCATCTACAGCATTTTCCAGCTGTTGTTTGCGCTGCTAATTTTAGGAGGTATAGTTACTTTCTATTATAGCACTATAATTATCATTATTTTGATTATCAGTTTAATTTTGTATGCATATGCAGAAAACAAGAGGGGATAAAAAATAATCAAATGCAAAATACTTCAATAAATTATGACCCAAATGATTACAGGGCCCTGTACGTAATCAGGAAGATACCAGGCTCAGTTCAAGTTTAGAAAGGCCCTTCTTTTAGCACAAGGAAGGGGGTATCCACCACCTACAGCTGGGCATATGAGAACACTGAACATGGGATTGCTATTACACGTGGCTGAGGAAGGCCAAATGCATCTTCTTCCACTGATCCAGGCTGTCTGTGCATACAACTGCCCAGCAGGGCCATCCCCACAACCATGCACAAACCTCCCTCCCATCAGCTGTTGAGAGAACAGGCATCAGCTTCATCAATAATGTGAGAAAATATCTTCCAATAGAGGCAAAGTCCCTTTTTCCTCCCACATACACATTTCATTGCTGCTCCTACACCTAACCTAAGAAGGGTTGGGACCTTGTTCCTGTTACTTACACATAAAAACAGCTGTGACTATCAAGTTCCCACTCCCAAACTAGCCGTCCTCTCTGTCAGGAAATGGGGTAGGGACACATGAAGCACTTTGTCCCAGCTCTGCCAAGCAGGACTCACATAGAGGTAAGAGTCAATTCCTCAGGCCCAGCCAAGAGCCCAAAGGCTTTCCAAGGGAGACTGGCAGTACTTTTAAAAGTCACCGCACACTACAGGAACAGAAAGCAGTCAAACACCAAGTGCAGAATTTAAACTGTTAAAATCTCTAAATATAGTTTTCCAGTGATGAGTGACACGAAATAATTAAACATAACTTTAAAGAAACTATCTGTATGGGTTGGAATGTTTCAGCAGTATGAGGAAAGAAAATGTTGCATGGCTATATGTTACTACAGTACCTTTTTCAGGTAATTTTTGTAAATTCTATATTTAATACAAAATATATATTGATTCCCAGGGTACCGCCTTTACAGAAGATTCCATGTCAAAACAAAGACAGATGTCGAGAAAACTGAGCAAAAAGAGGATTCAACATCAAATGCTAAAATAAATGGAGGATTTGTATCAAATGAGACCAAATAGACACTTACCTCTGCTCCCACTAGTTGGAAAGATAAAATACGTGGTTTACTTAAAACTTTTTTTTCACATGCTGTTGGTTTATGGAAATATTTAACAAAAGAGGTTCTGCTGATATTTTACAGTAAGATTTTAAAATTAACTTAAGAAAGATTTCTACTTTGATTTCGAGCATGGTTCCTGCCACAATTGTAGAATCTGGTTTTGAAGCTAATTCTTCAAAAATATGTAATGTTTTATTCTGGCTTATTTAAAGAAAGGCAGAATAAAGGTGGGCTATTGCTGAAAAACAAGCAAATGTATGTAACACCAAATCCAGCCCATGGTCCTGCAAATCCATCTGCTAGTTTCAGCCCTCACACTAAAGAAAGAGAAATCCCGTGAAAGTGCCTGAGTAGCAGCAGGAGTTGATGTGGAAGATCTGATAAGGCCGAATATGAATCAACCATGAAATTGGAACAAGCCAATAGTGAAATAAAAGTTTCATTCAGGTCAGTGTGGGCAGGCTAAAGTCATTGCACCTTATTAATTGCTTGAACATTAATTTATTCTAAAGCTATAATTTTAATAAGGACGAGGTACCTCATAGCTCTTTTTTTTCCCCAAAGTAATAGAAAGTAACAGCTTTACATCTTCAGTCTGGGTCTTTTAGGTGCTGGAAACATGAAAAGAGAGACAAAGGTGAGAACATAAGCCTTGAGAAATTTTAGTGTGACAACTGCATACAAAAGGGCAAGCAGAGATTCTGGAAGTACAAGAAATTGTCAGCTTTTGCACTAAAAGAAAGGCATTTGAAAACCAAATAAAATTGTACCTGGTTTATCCAGGACTACTTTCACCAATCTTAACCATGAGACAGCAGTGCTTGTAAAGAGCTATATATTTTTGTTATTTTATGAACTCAATAAAATTGAACTTACCAGATGTCTGTGACATGTAGAGACTGATGTAGTTGATAACTTTCAGATTTTATTTATAGGAGTCACTAATAGAAATAATTGGTTATACAAATATATTATTTGTCTCTGAAATTTCAAGAGTACATAGAGAAACCTGTCCTAAGTGTGTGGAGAAAACGAGTATGATTCTAAGAGAAACGGTGCAGTAAATTGCAGCTGTAATTTTTTATGGATACATTCAGTAACATTAGTTCTGTATGTAAGGAAAACATCCAGAGAACTTTATATGAATCAGTGAGAGTTTGACAGACCAAAAAATTCAAGAATGAGCCAACTATTAACACACAGAAAGTATCCACCTTTCTGTCATATTCAAGTGGACCTTCCAAAATGTTGTGAGTTAATGTGGCAGCTTTTTTACAAACAAAACTGAAATTGTGGAGTTTAAGTTCCCAATGTGTAGTTTTCCACTGCTGCAGCAATGTGCCCAGTATTAAACAAAGAATAAATTATTTCTATCCACCATCGGTGGGGGAAAGGATCTTGAAATGTTCCTGAGTTCTGGGAGGCCTGAAGCTGCTTTACTTTTGGGAGGGAGTTCCAAATGGTCAGACCCTTCAAGGAGGAGTTCAACACTTAGTGGTGTTTAGCACATAACAAGGCATGCTATGTTTTATGGAACAAAGATTAAACAGAACAATGTGGTGAAGACTGTTATGGAGGAATCATAAATGTGAAACAGCATATTCATTGAGAAAAGGATAAACTGTTGTTTGTGACATCTGTTCTAAAAAACCTATTGTCTTGATCCTTCATTCATGAAAAAATGGACAGCGGAAGTTAGTTAGGATCGTGTCTTTCTTACACACCAAGCTGCTATTATTCCTCCATGATGAACTTCAATGTTTCTGTGAATATTTTAGGCAGATTTTGAAACGTATCAAAGAATAATTTTTTTGTCTTGCTTATATTATGTGTGTGTATTTAATGCAACTGTATAAACATTGAACTGAATAAAGTCAGAAACTATTTATAATTTTGCCCACTGGAGTAATTTAAGGTGGAAGGAATTGAGACAAAAACCTAACATACAGACAGAGTTTATAACTTTGAGATGTAACAAAAACAACTCAGATTATGTGTGAAATGGATATGTTTAATAATCATAGAATCATAGAACAGCTTGGCTTGGAAGGGACCTTGAAAGTCATCTAGTTCAACCCCTGTGCAATAAGCAGAAACATCTTCAACTAGATCAGGTTGCTCAGAGCCTCGTCCAACGTGACCAATCCTTTCCATGGATGAGGCATCTACCAGCTCTTTGGGCAACACAATGAAGATTAAATGAACACCGGATGTCATATTGGATACACATTTTTTAATGCAGATGTGCACTCGAGGTCTCAGATGAAGAATGGAGGCTGCAGTTTTTGCAGTCATTGCAATTACATCTACCAAGGATCATATGTCCTAAGCTTTACACAAAGCAAAGCCAGCTCAAAGGTCTTGCCCAACATATGCCTTTAGAGTGCATCAAACCTAAAACAAAATCTCAGGGCTTGTTAATATTGTGAGAAGCGGACTTATGTTGATGGGGCAACTTCTAAATCTCCAGCTGTAGAAGTCTGGACAGCATCATTATCAGATCATCACTCATGAAGCTGTGGTGGGTCATCTCACAGCAGTGTAAGGGACTATTGGGGAAGTTGTGTTCTCTCCCCAGAGGTCTCCAGAAAGATGTTATGTGTCTTTGGCTGTCAGCCCTATAAATGCTGATATATGGGCTTCTCAGCTGAAGAAGTCTGGTGATCTCCAGCCTTGCAGTTGCAGTTGTCCTGGTGTGGTCAAAAGGAAAACCCTGGCCTTGTTTAACCTGCTCAGGGTCATCTCCTCACACTCATCAGCCTGAAAATCCTTTCAAAGACAGGCAGTATCACTTAGTCACCACTTCTCGTTAAACAGTCTTCTATCCATGGAAACAACGTATGGATGGGACACTGCAGATTGTGAAATTTAAAAGCACGTGCAATGATGTTCAGGCTAAAAAATGTCTGTTCTAATTAACTCTTGCACATACTAGTAATCTTGAATTTATCACTTCAGACTAAGAAGTCATACAGATGCCTTTGCAATGCTGGTTCTCAAGCTGAAGTATGCCTAAGGATAGACACACCTTAGAAGCTGAAATTACAGCTGAATGAAAGCCTAACTCATGCCAAGGTCTGTAGTGTAAGGCCTACAAAGATACAACAGTCACACTTGCCAAGTCGATCTCTAGCCATAAATCTGGATATCAAATGTATTCTCTAGTCAGCAAAGAGGAGACAGACCATCACAGAGTTAATCATGCCTGTTCTCTCAGAATTGCCTGTCTTTATAAATTAAATTTAGATGGCCTGTCTTAGATGAAATAAATAAATTTTTAGTCTCAGACAGTAAAAAAAATTAGTTGAAATTAAATACATCTTTTTGTCTTCGTTTCTTTTCTGCATAAATTTGCTGAGCAGCCAGTTTGTTTCCTTTAATGAGGAAGATAGGTTTTAGAGTCGAGAAAATGAAAACTATGCAAAATAAAGGACAGTATTATGATTCTAATCTTCTATTATATAACTTGTAATAGAACTAATTTCTCATCTGACCTAAAGACAGGTGGAAGAACTGTTTCTGTCATATAGTGTGCTATGTTAACTGGAAAAGAACGCAACTTGAATAGAATTAACAAGTAAATTGATTTGCAATTTGCATTAAATGAGTTTCTTGTTTCAAACTAATCAGGTTATGATGTTCAAAACCTACTGTTATTCTCTGCCGGTCAGTATCATTTTTGTCAGCCTCAGAAATGAACTTATTTTTTGGCAGCCCAATCAATTAACATACTGTACACTTGATGCAAATGTAAAACAATAATCAGTATTCCTTAACTCCAAAGGAACAGACTTTCACTTCTAGGTATCTGACAAGAATCTGTTCTCCACAGGTTAACTGTATTGCTTGCTCACAACCAGAATTAAAGCAAATATAGTGTAACGGTCCCACAATCAAATGGTATCTAAGCAAGCCTGACTGGATTTTCCAAGTCAGAACTGAAGAGCAATAGAAGTAAATCTCTGCTTCTGTCTCCTAAGGAATATTCATTCTGCTCCAGAAGCATTAACATCTCAGTTAAGCTGAACACTAAATGAACTTAAAATACTAAATGTAAAAATAACTGTAACTTGCCAGGATATCTGCCAATCTTCAAACTGGAATTGGAGAATATGGAAAATTGAAAGTTTTGAGGGAGCTTTAATGTGTTTTCATGAATAAACATGTGCTGTGGAATGGTATTATCCTCTCCATTTAATTTCTATTAAATTTAGCCATTGAAAAGTAAGTTTCTAGTATCAGCCTTTACGCTTCCCTGAAAAGAAGTAGTCAGTACTGTCAGCAGGAAAAGATAGATTTTGCTCTGGAGAGCAAGCCATTACACTCTTCAGACTCCTGGTCGAGGACAGGAAGAATTCTGGAAGGAGACAAAGACATTGTAATAAATAAATAAATAAATAGATAGATAAATAAAGTTCCATGAGGACATTCCAAACTATGTCTATATAAACAAAGAGCATACAAAAAGGTATTAGTATATCTCTACTTGCTCATAATGGACTTAATATAAAATTAATTAATCAATTCCCAATTTCTCTTGAAAGATCATAAATCAGCCTTCTACCTCAGATTAGGATCGATTATGGAAAATGTGAGACTTTGGAAGTACCAAATTGAAATAAAGTTCACAATCTTTTGGATTTCAATTAATTGGGGATTTAGCCATGAGGACTGGATTTTTGCTTTTCCAATAACTCACCAACTGAGAAATCCTTTGCAATCACACAAATACTTTAAAACTTCAAAGAAAGGGAAAAGAAAACTCAACACTGGAGAAAACTCTTACTGACTGCAAGATGGAGTTAATCAGTTCCTTTAAGTAGTTTATCCCCTGGTTACTATATGTCTAGGACAATGTTATAAAAAGGAACAATTTCTGTTCCAGGCAAACAGAATCTAATTGTTTTTCCTTAGAGCACACAAAGCTTATGCACAGTTTCTCATTCACTGCCGTTGTTCCTGAACATATATTAGCATCTTCATATCTTACAGATATAACTTAATTGCTACAAATGTTCTGATTAGGTCTGCTGATCAGGTATCATTAAGGTAATCTGATACATTCTTTTATATATGACTGCAGACCTTCTGTCTCCTTCTTCTGCAATGAGTTTATGTATTACTCATTTGGGAGATTTCATCACA